TATAATAAGATTATAATAAGATTATAATAAGATTATAATAAGATTATAATAAGATTATAATAAGATTATAATAAGATTATAATAAGATCATAATAAGATCATAATAAGATCATAATAAGATCATAATAAGATCATAACAAGATTATAATAAGATTAGAATTAGAAGCGATAAAAAAATACAAAACAAACAATCAGGAAAACGCAAAGTAAAACAATCAAACAAAAAATGATGATAAAACGACAAAAGAATTAAAGAATTAAGAACGAAATTTAAAGCATACCAATACTTTCTAGCACCGTAATATGGACCAGAAATTAATTGAAAAACCGTAGCGATAGCCAGAATAACAGACCATAATTTATAATCAAATTTTCCAAGATCAAAATAAAATTGCCGACAAACACGAAGATAAGTTGACATGCTAAAAAAAGCAAACATATTTTAAATCAAACACAAAGCTTAATATGAATTTAAACTAATAAGATTAAATTTCAAAGTGTAAATACCTTACAGTACCGTATAGAGCCAAGTTAATGGTGATGAAAAAAAAATACACCACACTCAATATTGTACACGTTGGTTGATCCCAAACTCTGGCATAAACGGCTGTATGGGTCTATTAAAATTAAATAATTTATACAAAAAAAAATTTTTAAAATTTATTAAATAATTTTTGATATAATAATAAGATTAAACGTTACTTACTATATTTAAAATTCCAGCGATATCAATTCCCACATCTATCATAAAAGTATCAAAAAAAATAAAAAATAATTGATTATCAAATATCAATCATTATATTAAAATCAAAAATTAAAAGATCGAAAATATCGTATAAAAAGGCTTACCAGCAAGAGCAGTGTAAAAAGGTAACCTAAATATCATTGATAAACTTTTTGATGAAATTTTCCATTGCAGCCAACTCCGATAAAAAACGTACGAACAACCAACAGTATTAAAAAAAGCCATTATATAAGTAGTTATAAGCACAAGTTTCAAATCACCAACATTTTCTGGACTATCAAGTTTATAAGATGAATCGTCGTTAGTGGTATCAAAATTTAATTTTGTATTATCTGTATCATTAATAAAATTTTCTGATGACATATCAGCGAGAATAGGTGTTAAAATGATAAGAATATCATAGAGAATAAATATCAAAATTTTCGACGGTTGCGTCATGCTTAACATGCATCGGAGGACGGAAGAAGGGGAAAAAAGAAAATGAAAGTTATCTATCTTTGTAAAAAAATATCAAGTATTAACAAGAGAATTAAATCGAAAAAAAAAATAAGGTGAATTTTTTTAATGGATTTATTTTGGTATTTATAACATTCCTTAATATTGATTTAAAGGGGGTATAAGTTTATATATAATTATGTATGATAAGCCCTTGGCGAGGAGAAAATAAGGAATATGTATATTTACAAAATATTTATCTTTTCACGTTTTCAAATATCGATTTTTTTCCTAAAGAATTTGGTTCATTTTCCAAATGCATGCATAAAATCAAACTCATCATATTTACTGAGTATTAATTTCAATGTCAGCTATTTAGGTTATTGAAAAATTTTTTTTCCCTTTAACAGATAATCGAATAAGTACACCAATTAAATTTCATAAATTCGAAAATTTTTAAAATATGTATGTTTTTCCTTTTCTTAAATCTTTTGCATGCAACTAAATTGTCGATCAAAAGGGTCCCAACCAAATATCTACCAATAAAATATTTTTAACTTTTGTTTGTCACACTGTCACGTGTAATAATTTCGTCAAAATGTTTGTTTGTTAGCATCTTGTAACTTATTTCTTGTTTATATAATGAAAGATTCTTTTCTATAACGAGTATGGGCATTTATTAATAATTTTTATAACACGTTAAAAACGTACGAATTCTCTATCCGTACTAGGTTAAATGTTTTTATGAGACCTATATTTGGAATAGATTCATTTAAGTCATTTAAGGGTATTGCATCTTATTTATATGGCACTTATTTCTGCATATGCATGTGCGTACGTACTATATGTACACACACAAGTATTATCGTTATTGCTGTATTGGAAATATATCAATTTACAAATTTGTATAACTAATACTAATAACGAAAAATACAAATATTGCACGTGATTCGATCAACGTACGTACGTACGTACACATGAACAGTGAAGCTGGTTGTTCTTTAGGCATAAACTTTGAGAAAGTATTATTTTTTTCTTCTCGTCGCCGACCTCTTCAACAACTTTCTGCAATCCTTTCAAATTTCTAATATTGCTTTATTTGGAAGTAATTCGAAGTTTTACATCTTCGGACGAATAATCGTCAAGCTCTAGATTTCTAATCAGTATTAGATCCCACTTGATATTACTAAGAACTTTGCGTGCTATATCCTCTTGTTATTATAATCGTCTCTTATGAAATTACTGCTTACTATATATTTGTTAATTTTAATATTCTTTTTCTAACTACAGTAATTTTACACACTGTTATTATTAAGTCACGTGTTTGAAAGCCAGACAATAATACATAGAATTATTTTTAGAGTACAATACAGTAATATATATTATTTATTTAAATTGACCCCTTCCCACCACTGCGTTTAAGCTTCATAAAAGGAACGTTAAATGAAATTATAATTTCGAACGGTTTAATAAACACATAATGGATTTATCATAAAATTTTAAATTTAAAAATCCTTATCCGTGATATACATATTGATAGTTGAAAATTCATCTAGTATCGCCACCAAAGCCAGGTACGTAATCGCTGCTTAAAATTTGATTTGAACTAAATACCATTATTAATTAACAAAACCACGATATTTCAAAAGAGAAATAAATAATAAAATATGGAGAATAAGCACAGCACCCTCTACCCTGCTTTGTTCAATTTCAGATTAGCGGAAATAGCAGTAAAATCTTTAATTAAGTTATTCCCGTTAATCCGAAATTGAAAAAAGCAGGGTAGAGGATGCTGTGCTTATTTTCCATATTTTACGGTACATAATTTTTTTGTTTTTTATATTAAAAGAATTTATATATTTTATCTAAATTGAGATTATGCCCATGCCAGCATACGTATTGGCATCATGCCGAACACTAGTGCCTTATGCCGGTGCCTAGGGTATGAGCACAGAGTACTAGGCATTATTAGGACACAGGCCAAGGTGCCCAATCACTATAGTGCATCTATACTTACAAAGTTTTTGGTCAAAATTTTGAATTTGTGCCCATGGACTTGAAAATCCCTAACTGGGATATTTTATATTCACATTCAAATGTACAAAATAGATTACATTCAAGTTCGATTTTTTGAAGACAATTTGAATATCAAAATATCCAGCCCAAAATCTTTAATAAAGTTATTCCTCATTTTAGTATACCATGATTCTAAATCGATTATTTTATTAACTCGTGCATGGTTTTCCATGCTTCATATTTTAATATTTTCTTGAAGTTTGGTCTTTACAATAAGAAAGTTTTCGAATTTTGTTATTTAAGAGATCTTTAAAGCATAATATAATGGAAAGTATAAGCACTCAAAACTAGAGCTTGATCTGGATATCTGTCGGCACATCTGGATTGTTCTTCTGTTTATCCGTTACAGCTATTTACCATAAGATTTGGTTTATGATTTGTATAATAAAAGATATTTTTGAAAATATAATGATTATTTCATAGATCGGTTCGAATGATTGCCCAACATGTTTGGTGTGTTTAGTTTGTACAGTACCGGACAGTAAAACGCATCCACTCATTATTAGTAGAAACTATAAATTATTATAACTTTTTTAAAACAAGAAAAATCACAAATTGATAGATCTTTAGCTAAACTACATTTTTGTCAGATGATTTTCTCTTATTGTTGTTTAAGAAAGTTATAAGGAGTTAAAGTTAATAAATTGGCGCTTAATATATATAAAAAAAAAGATATCCTATCATAAATAAGCACCCATGACTTCTTTGTATTTATTACCGTAGTTTGATTGGCGGAGTATCATGTGAGATAAAATTTTGATGACAGCGATGAATAAGCACCCGCGATCAATGTGGGTGCTTATTTTTGCTATATAGAATCATCAATTGTGCCAAAATTAGTCAATCAAAATCGATTATGTAAGCACCAAAAATTGGCGCCTTATAGTACGAATATTTACGGAAGACAGTTCTTGTCAATAAATAATCTTGACAAGAAATATAAAAAAAGGCTCCGGGTATAAAATAAACCTTTATAATAAACATATTACACGAATAGGTGTAATTTTTAAAAAATTAGATATGATCAAAATGTAAATAAAAATTCCCAAAAGTCAAAGATTATTAGTATTTATCGAAAAAATTGTGTTTTCCAAAAAAGTGATGGAAGTTTTTTCGGTTTATAGAAGATCTGCTAACACATAAGTGGCAATTTTTCGAACTGACAAGCCTTCAATAATGGCCTGTAGGGGAAATGACAGTTGAAGAAATGAGATGTAAACATTTATATCTTACTGCTTTTCACATACATATATATATATTCAATGTTTATATTATTTTATTCGTTTACTATTAAATAAATAAATTTTATTTCAAAATGGACAAAACTGGACAAAAAATTAAATATGTGAATGGACAAAGATAGAAAAAAAATTTAATTATGTAAAATGGACAAATATAGAAAAATTAATTATTTAAAGGATAAGTTAAATTATATAATAAAAAAAAAAAAAAACTAGCCAGATGAAACAGAAGCGAAACCACAAGCTGTTATAACTTTATGTGGAACTTTATTTCCTGAAACTGCAATTACAATAGAGTAATTTGAAGGCAATTTGGGAGGTGCTTTTGTTGTAAAATCTATCTGATAGTAATTAGTTGGACATTGAGGGGTACAAAGATTTTCTGTAAAGCCTCCACCTCCTTCTATGGGTTCATTATTTGAATCATAAAATTCAACAGTAAATAATGCTTCATCAGTCGTATCAACAAGTAATTTTGTTGAACCGACAACCTTGACAGTCTCATTTGGTTTTACAGGATCAGGTGTAAGTGTTGCATTAGTGATTGCGGTTACATTAACGCTTCCCGGTAATTTATCTATAAAATTTGAAGGGCATTCAATAAATTTGGTTTCTCTTTTATTCAATTGATACGGAATAGAGTTGACCATTGAAAGTGCGGTCAGAAAAAAGAATAACATGATTAAATTTCGGATCATGATCATTATTCTTTATAAGCTAACAAAAAACATTTTCTATAGAAATTTTTATGTTTGTGATTATTTTTATTATTTTGATTCAAGAGTAAATTAAAGTTGTTGTCTTTTTATAAAAAAGAAAAAAAAGAAAATCACTAGATATTAAAAATTCGTTCTTAAATTAGTAATTATTAAATACATTTACACGTGGCTCTCGATATAACGGAGGCCATGGTTCCAGTACTTTGCACCGTTATATCAAAAGCTCCATAATATCAAAATCTCTATGATATAAAAGATAATATAGTAAATCATAATTTGGTTCTATTATAATTCTCCGTATTAAGCAATATCCGTTATATCGATGGTCCGTTATAAAGAGAGCCACGTGGTATTGTTTAAAAAGGGTTTATCGACGACTATTTTCCCGACAACTATTTTCCCGACAACTATTTTCCCGACAACTATTTTCCCGACAACTATTTTCCCGACAACTATTTTCCCGACAATTATTTCCCCGAAATAACCGTTTTCCTGACAATCATTTCACCGACACGGCATGACCATTCCCCCAATAATCATGTTGGGATATCGAAAATGTGTACAAGGTTGCTCTCCGGATGATCTTATGATGGTTCAGACGACTACTCCGGAATTTAATAGATTCGCTAATACATTTAATAAAAAATACTGTATATTTCATTCAATAAACTTTTTGCAGATAGTCGACTCAATGAGACGAAGTTCTCTGTAACCCTGAATATAAAGCACTCAAAAATTTCAAATTATATAATAATTCGTTATAAAAAATACTATGGGCTTTTAATAAACGCAGTAATTTCTATACAGAACTGTCAGTTCGTTATTGTAGGTTGGCTATAATTTTATTTTTTTATGGCAATAAAATTAACGTTAAACATTATATAAAGAACTAAAAAAAAAATTCTTTACGAAATTACAAATAAGCATCGAAAAGTTATTTGAGCAATAAAGGGGTCCGTATTGTTTCACCGACAATCACTTCATAGACACTGCATTTCACCGACAATTATTCATCGACAAGTTCATTTTACCGACAGTCTATTTCACCGAAGCTCATTTCACCGACAAGTTT